TAGCCACTTGAAATGGCGAATGACACAAGCAGCTACTGCCTGCTGGCAGCAGCCTGTAAGTTAGCACTTGACAACATACTACTGTGGCATCTAATGGCAGAGACAAACGCCGACTACAGCTGCATGTGAACAAGTAAAGACTGGCAGCAGCACCGGTATGCAATTTGTAGGCTCGTGAAGGCAACAGTTTCCATTAGAAAGCAGCTTCCAAAAATTCACTTCAGGGATCAGCCTCGCAACAAAATTAGTAAATTACTTTTAGATCTTAACTAACAAGATGAATGTGATTTTTTTTTTTTTTTGAAAACCAGATGAATGTGAAATTTGTTTTCATTAATTCTCTTATCTCTGAATACCTTCCTGCATATAATGCAGTCAAAACCAAGCAATGGGGATGAGAAAATAATACTACGTTGATCATGAAATGATTGAAACAATAATAAAAGTGCATATGAGAAGGTAAACCTTATCCAGGTAATGGTTCATGAGGCACTTTCCCAGCACCAACCTGCCACAACTAAGCATGGAGATGAGACATGTGTCTTCTTCCTGAAGCCAGCAACATCCTGTAGGCCAGGTGCGTCCATCACCATTGATGGATGAAGAATAAGCACCCTAGGTGCACGCTGTCGAGGCTCATAATAGTGAAAATACTGCATCCTTCTGAATACAGAAGTACAGTTGCAACCAATCTGATGACACATGTTTGTTATGCAATGATGTCTCCCAGATCCATCCGGCTTGGCAATTTATGGAAGACCAAAATAGTATTGTATCAGGTTACACACAGCTCAACTATTTACTGAATAAAGGTACCATAAAATGATTCTTTTTTATGTGACTACATCAGAATATAGAGAGTAGATCATATGATTTAGTAAATTCTCTACATATAGGATGACAGCAGAATGGAGGATAACTAAGGCTTTGCAGCACTTCATCAAAAACTGCTTTTCATCCCAATGTGAAACGGGCATTCCGAAGCGTTGATCCAAGTGAATGTTCAAATCTTGGATGATTACGAATGATAGAGGTTGAACACAAACAGATGCAATCTACGCCAGTCCTTATAAAGGGTATGAAACTAAAGAAGGAAGTGAAATTCATGCTCACAATGAATTTATGAGTTATGTATCCCACAAAAGATCAGCGTAGATAGGAGAAAACCCAGCTATGGATTGGGAATAATTATTTGGTGCATGTGATGAAACTTTGAATGCACAGAGGGAAAAAATCTCTGATGAATCTAAGGTATCATTTGTATTCCATGTTACTCCAGAGCAAGCAATATAAATATATAATTACTGATCTCGTATATTCTTCACAGAAGCTAATATCCTGGTAGGAAAGAGATTAAAAAAACTCGCCTTAAAGTAGCAGTGCAGTACAACACGAAATGTAGAACCACACTATCAATATCAACTGATATTAAGGTACCTCAACTCAAGGGTTCTGCCATTCCAGCAGAGCAAGGCCTGCAGGCAGTATAGTTCTGGAATATGTGAAAAAGCTTTTAGAGACACATTGCCTGGTTTTACGTTTAAATCTAACAAAAGCAAATGCAGCACCTTTTTTAGTTGGGCATTATCAAGATCTCTCCTAACAGTGTACCAGAATGTGATTCCAAGCAAAGCCCACCATATGAAACAACCGATGGTTGAAGAATACTTGTGGCAAATTTTGGACTCCATATCTTGTGCAAATTTTTGAACTCCACATAAAGATATGGGAACCTAGACAGAACAACTATAGAGGAAACTGCACTGCTTTTACAGATTCTAGTTCGTCATTGTTTGACACCGCTTGTCCTGACACATCTCCAAGGCCTCCTTCCTAAAAACTTGAAGGAATGCTGAGTTTCATCAATCATTTCATTTTCTTGTAGCAAATTCCTGCTGGGACTCTGCAATATCATTTATGCAATGAAAAATTGTAATCACAAAAATAAAAGAGGCCATAAGAAGCATCAAGCAACAAATAATCATGTCTTTCCCAGCATGGTCCCGTTCGCTTCGCTAAAAAAACAAGCCGAAACACTGTTCCGGCTGATTTGTTGTGAGAGAAAAACACTGTTCCGACTGATTTGTTGTCAGGAAGATATTTTGATGGTGGCAGAACTTTATTATCATATAGAGTCGACAACACAAACAATAATCATTCTTTCTTCAATGTCATGGGGCCACATGACCAAATGATACAGATACTGTGTGCTTGCTCAAAAGATAAGATAAGCCTCATTTAAATTAATTTACCAGACCGAACGACATTATCGCAACAAGTTTTTTTTTCTAAAAGAGAATAGAATGAATATCAACCTTGATATGCACAACAAACGATGACGAAGAAAGCAGACAAGTTGTAAATTCCAAGTTAAAGATATAAAAAAAATGTTCAGAGGACATGTTGAACAGTTGGACCCAAGAGGACAATCAGTGGAAGGCAATACATGCAATCCAGGTTAGGTTGCTCTACAGTGAATGATCCAACCTTGGGCATCGCTTGCTGAGAAGGCAAATTCCGAACATGCTGGAAGCAGCCAGCAAGCACTTTGCGTTAGATAGCGGCATACCTCGTCACGCTGCTTCTCAAGGCACGCGGCAATCTCCTGGTGTTCGATGTCAGTCGACATGGTTCATGTGGCATTCGGCCTCCTTGAAGATCTCAAGCAGCGAATAGTTCTGCTCACTCCACACGACCGTGTCTACCCTATCCCCCACCACCAAGCACAGCTACTCTGCTGAGCCATCATTGCCCCTCGCTCCCGCCCTCCTCAGATGTGTACCACATGCAGAGCTCCATGGACAAGCCGCCACCACCGCGTGACGAGGTTAACTCATGGGAATAAGAGACCCGACCAATGGATGGAGCAGGCATGGCATTGCGTTGCCACCTGCCACCAGTGGAGTTTTGATTCACTAAATCTGTCCCCAAAACTACTACTGTCTTCTATCAACACTTGGTGGCTCATCCGAACTTTCTCAACCATCTGACGTCAACATAAGAGCTTCAGCAAAGACGAGGTGAGGATATATCGTGGTGTCTGCATTCAGTTTCAGCGATCCAGCAGGTTAAGATAAAAAAAAACTGGAAGTCAACGATGAAAGCAAGGGTTGAGCTCATGGAATGCAAACCAATGAACAGATAAGAACATTCCAAGCACAAAGTCAGCATGCCTGGATAATATGATAACTTGCAGGACTGTTCAGTACAAGAAAGTGAAGAAACAAACAAGGAAGCCACGCCGCCACGGAGCTCTGTTCTAATACAGAATGAGAATCTAATACATGGACTCATGCCCGTTTTCCTGTCAGATTATACTGACATCTCTCAATATCACCTACACAGAGGGCTACAACAGGAACATGAAAATTCCATCCAGATTCTAGAAACCCACACAACTGAGGGGATACAGAATCAAATAAGCAAGCAGTTCTCTTCCTCTGAGGAAAACATGGTGAAGGATGCTTCAAATGATATGAGGAATATAGTTCAGCTAACATCGGCCCTATTGATAGAATGGACCATGCCTATCTGATGACTGTTACCATGCAAACTGCTAATAAGTTAGTCATCTCAGGATCATGGCATGGAATGACCAGTCCTACCAGGATTAGAGTGAGAATGGTGTTTGACACTTTGACGGCTGTACAATTTCATATAAAAGACGCACCATATGCATTAACTGCCTTGAGCAGCACCATATGCTTTAATTGCTGGAACGCCATATAACAGACACAGGACAAGCCGCGCTCATCAGTTGCCAAGGCTGTTAAAATATTCCAGCACACACAGTCTATCGAATGGTCAACTCAAGAAGGAAGGGCCATGCTCACATCACGTATGGGACACCAAAAGGGCCTCCATTCCCTAGCATTTCAGACCATGAAAACAATTGTAACAGGACCAGAAAAGACAATCTATCATATACATTTTACTCGACCAAAGGTGCAAATGAGATGCTAACCGGAACTGTCATACAAAGCCCATGTCAAGTTCCGGTGATGTTCAGAACATACATTCTGGAAGAGTTTCAGCAGCAATTTTTTCTCCCAGCTCATGGCCTGGCAACTGACATGTAGCATGCATGCAAACATAAATAACTGACATGACCCTAGAGTGCCCTGAGCAGGCCGGGCCGGGTTTTCAAAGAGAGAGCATGGTTGCTCCTTCAGTAGTGATCTTGGCAATTTGTTATTTAAGAATGTGCTATAGTAGTCCACTAAATGTATATTGAAATTGAATATCCACAGAGCCAAGATATTTTCATCAAGGCCAGAATTTCATACCTCGAATTTGTTAATAGAAAACCTGCCACGGTACAGAAAGAGCAAGCACAATGAAATGTCACCCACTCACCCAGATCCATCAGCCTTGGTACTTTATGGAAGACCAGAAAAATACTGTATCAGGTTACAACACAGTTCAGCAGCTAGTTGCTTCAAAGCAATTACGATTTGTGAATTGACTGGAAAAGAACTAACAGACAAGCACAGCACAGCAAGCATTAATTAATGTAGATGACAGATAAAACATATACTGAATATAGATATCATGCGATGCTTCTATGTGACCATATCAGAATGCTGACTCACTGAGACAGTAAATGATCACAGGGTGTAGCGAATTCTGTTTACACCAGGATGAGGATTGAATGAACGACAAACCAGGATGTACTGAATGCCATCTAAAATCTATCAAACCCCATGTGGAGAAGGTATTGTAAAGAGGCATTCCAGCATACGTCCATCTATGCTAGTCTTCATAGAGAGCAGGGCAATCAAGAAGAAAGTGAAATTCATGTTCACAGCAAAGTTATGAGTAATCTTTGTTGAATAAGATCTTAGGAAGAAGATTAAGTAAAAGTATTATTTGGTGGACTTGATGGAACTTTGAGTGCATGGGACTAATTTTTTCTTAATGAATCTAAGATATCATTTGTGTTACATATGACCATCTGAGCAATCAAGATTGTTATTGATCGTACATATTCCTCACAGAAGCTATTGTTTTCTTCTAGGAAAGGGACTCAAAAATCTCATCTTAAAACAGTAGTCCAATGCAACAGCAGCAGGCAGAAATATGAAAATGTTTTCAATCACACTGACTGCACCATCAAGAGTAACTGATATTAAGGTATCAGTACTCATCTCGAGGGTTCTACCCGATTCCAGCAGAGCAAGGCCTGCAGATAGTTTAGTTTCAGTAAATAAAAGAACATTCTCAGGAATATGAGCTTTAACAAACCATGTTGCCTGGTTTTACCTCTAACAAAAGCAAACGCAGCAGGAGCCCCTGTTTTTAGTTGGATATTGTCCAAATCTCTTCTAACAGCATACCGGAATGTGACTCCAAACAAAGCACAACTTATGAAAATAATTGATGACTGAAGGAATAGTTGTAGCAGATCTTCGGCTTCATAGAAAGATATGGGCAAACTAGCCAGAACACCAACTATAGAGGAAACTGCAGCAGCTTTTACAGATTCTATTCTCTCGCTATCTTCATCAACATCACCACTTGACATATCTACAAAGCTTTCTTCCTCAAGACTAGAAGACAAGGATCGCTGAGCTTCATCAATCATTTCTCTTGCTTGAAGCAATTCCCGCTGGGACTCTGCAATCTTGTTTGTGCAAAGCAGCATTGTAAACATTTATGAAAAAGAAAGAGACTAAACAAAGCATCACGCAACAAATTATTCATGTCTTCCCAGAATGTCAAATTTGGATGATTGCAGAACTTCATTATCATAAACAGTTGACATCATCTCTGACAGTTGCATATAGCCAAAGTTACAAGAGCCGCATTCGCAAAACATCTAAGGGCCACACAGCTTAGTAAGATTGCATCTCCCAGGAACAACATGGCACCCGTTCGTGCTTCGTGTTGGCCGTGGGGGTCTGTTCTCTGTGCAGCAGTGTGGGAGGCTGAACGCTAGTGCATGCAGGACAGGTCGCTCTACTGTGAGCGACCCACTGATCATGGATTCAAGGGAAACCATCACGGCATGGGCATCGTTCACTGAGCAGGCAAAACATCGAACAAGCTGGAGCCACCAAGCGCGTCGCGGTGGATAGCAGCATGTCAGCATACCTCATCGCGCCGCTTCTCGAGGCGGCGAACTTCCTCGCGGGCGAGGCGCGCGGCGGCCTCCTGGCGCTCGATGTCGGCGAGCGCGGCGCGCGCGCGCTCAACGCGGCGCTCGGCGTCCTCGACGCCCTCGAGCAGGGCCCGGTTCTCTTCGCGGCGCAGAAGCTCGTCCACTTTCTCCCCACCGCCGAGCTCAGCCAAGACGCCGCGGCACCGGCGCCCTCGCCGCCCCCGCTTCCGCCTCCGGACTCGCTTCCGCCTTCCCCGGTTGAGGACCTCACGCGAGCACCCCCATGGAAGCGGCAGCGGCGCCGCACAGCAACCTGAGCAAGGGGACCCGCGGGTACGAAAGGAGACCCGACGAGCGGGCGGAGGAGTGCGGCGCGTTGCATTCCCGCCCGACCTGCGTTCGTGTGTGCTTAGCGGCGGCCGCTTGCTCCGGGTGGTTTGGATTGGAAGAGGACGGCGAGGAGTTCACTGTTCGCAACTTGCTGCTAGTGGAGTCTGACTCGCTGCAGGTCGACCCCACCCCGATCTCCCAGCCAATACAAACCCCGTCGGACCAACTGGCCACGGATGCGCCAGGAAGGCAGCAAGCAATAGAAGTGCTCGAGACAATTGCATGGCCTCTGCTACTGCAAGGACGAACTGATCACTGATCAGACACATCTACCTTCAGACTCTGCAATCTTGTTTATGCAAAAAAAACATAGAAGTTCAGAGTTCAGTTACATACAAGAACCGTTACAGTAAACAAAAGGACGATCAAAGAATCAGTTGCTCCTCTGAAGTTTCTGAACCAACTCATCCACTAGGTTAAGAACAAAACGCCTGGAAATCGATGGTGCAAGCTAGGGTTGGGTTTATGAAATGTATATTGCTATAGCAAGTTAAGCAGATTTGCATCCGAAGTTTGCCTAATTTGCATTAGTATGAGGACTTGAGGAGACTAAAAAATGCATAAGATGATCAAGGATGACAAGTAACTGAAAATTCACAAAACCAATGTTACATGACAGGGGAACAGAGCATAAAGTGCACTGAATTCCAGTTTCTGAATTCTGAGTACAACTGTAAGGGCAACACAGACCAGAGATTTGCTGTGAGAGATTTTCTGGGCCCCGTTCGCTTCGCTGAAAAAACAAGCCGAAACACTGTTCCGGCTGATTTGCTGTGAGAGAAAAACACTGTTCCGGCTGAAAAACAAGCTGAAAAGTACGGATTATAAGGCAAGCGAACAGGGCCCAGAAAATACCATGCACATGTGCACAGGTTTGACTCCATGAGAAGTGAGATGTGCACTTAGTTTGAATCGGAGGAAGTACATCTGAATGACTGTAGTAACTTGGAGGATCTCCTACTGAAGTATTGTTCAATGTTCATGACAAGAAATCAACAGGGAGCCATCTAATATGAGAATGAGCAAGTCGTCCTAACCAATCTCCTGTAAGATGATACTGCTTTCTTTCATTATCAACTACAAGATGCAAAATTCCAGATTCTCAAAATCTCCAGAAATGGAGGGTACAGAATTCTTGTGTGGAAAACATGGCAGAGATTTTTAACCACAAACCATCAGACAAGTGGTGTAACCATTTACTCAGGCGGTCTGGCCTTCCAGGTTATTTAAAACGTGTAACTAGTATTTTCATATTTCTTCAAGGGGGCATGCTCTTTGATCTATAGATAAACTGTGTCCTTTGCTGAGTTGAGCACAGCAGTCAGTCAGTCACATTGTTTAGCCAGGACTACATAACAATCAAGGGTGTAAAGCCTAAGTGGGAAAAGAAGTAAGTGTATCCACATAGATCATTCAGCAAATAGGCTTACGTAATGTAAACATCCTCAAGAATATCAGGTGTTGAGTTAAATCTTCTGCTATTCCTCAGATTTGGTTCTACTATCGTGTCGTTGTAAGTAATTTTTTTTTCTTCTAAAACACGCCTCATTGTAAGTAAATTGTTACGGTGGAAGAGTGGTGGTAACCTTTTTTTTCGAATTAGGGATATACCCCATTTCCATTGCATTCGCACGGAAATACATCAGAGTTTTAAAGATGTTTCAGAACAGTAGAGGAGCATACAGAAGAACGACGCAAAATAGAACAGGGAGCTTTGAACTCCATCGCCAGAATTACAACCCAGCAAACGATAGCTAGCGCTAACAAAAACATCTCAACAAAAATGAGGCGGGTAGCTTCCCAAGCCTTGTCATCACTTTTTGCCTTTATCAGCTTCTTCATCTCTGTCGACATCTTGCAGCATGCTAATCTGACTGTCGGCTTGACGCTTCTTGGACAGCAGCTGCACCGCAATCTTGAACATAGTATCCACACCCTTGATCAGCGTTTCCTTGTCCACCTCTTTCTGAAGACCTGCCCAGAATTTCATGAGCGCACATGCATGAAATACAATCTCAATGGGATTGTGGAATTTCTTCCCCTCAAAACATATCTTATTCCTCATCTTCCATATCGACCAACATACAGCTGCAATACCAACAGCAAAGAATTGTTTCCCTTTGGGAATCCATTTCTCACACCATTTCCAGCTTTGCTGAAAAGAAGTAGGAATATCATTGGCACCAAGGCGGTAGTAATTGTGGCCCACACAACCTTAGCCACAGAGCAAGTAAATAGGAGATGGGTCACAGACTCAGGTTGATGACAGAAATAACAGGATGGATCTCCATTCCAGTTCCTTCTAATCATGTTATCTTTTGTTAAGATAGCCTCATTTGCCACTAACCACAGAAAGATTTTGATTTTGGCTGGAAGTTTCCCTTTCCAGATATCCTTGAAGGATGCCCCCCCCCCCCTCAGAACTAGTCAGTGCATTATACGTCGATTTAACAGAGAATTTACCTCTGCTTTCCAGTTTCCAAGAGGCTATATCATGATCAGAGTCAAGCTAGAGTTCAGAAGCATCACTGAGAATTCTACCCCATTCACATCTAAGCTCAGTAGTCAGCCATCTCGAAAAGGTGATGGGAATCAAATTACTGAGCATCTGATGAACTGATATGTTCTGTTGCTCAGAGTTTAAAGAGGTCAGGAAAAAGAGTACAGAGGGGATCATTATAAAGCCAGATATCTCTCCAAACCGATGTTGATTTGCCATTCTTAACAATCATCTTCCTACCTTGAAGATATATGTGTTTGACCTTAAGAAGGTCTGTCCAAATGGGTGAGTCAGTTTGTTTATGCTTCACAAAACGCACATTGTCCCTCCTCAAGTATTTATATGTGACTAAATCCTGCCAAAGTCCAGAATCTTGCTCAAGTTTTCACCACCACTTGCAGAGTAAACTTAAGTTCATTTTCCTGATATCCTTAATCCCCAGGCCCCCCTTTTTGTTACTTTTACAAATTTTGGTCCATCTTACTAAATGATATTTTCTCCTGGAGTGGCCTCCCTGCCAGAAGAAAGTTCTTCTCACTTTGTCCATTTCTTTTATCACAGTTTTGGGCAGAAGATAGATGGACATGTGATAAATTGGGGCACTATTCAAACTGGAGGTTATCAGGGTTGACCTACCAGCAATAGACATAGACGAGCCTTTCCAAATATCTAGCCTTTTTGCATTTTTTCAGAGTGGTGGTAACCTTTAAGGTTTTTTATTATATGGATATCCTGACAACTTCCCCTGAACTAATTTTGTTCGAGAGAGGGAAAAATATATCTCTTGAACTAACTATCCGAAGTAACCTCCTGAACTAAGTAATAATCATTTCTCAACACCTCCTGAACTATCTACTTCTAACAAAAGTAGGTGCTATAATAAGATGAATAGCTTGTGACTGAAGTACTGAACTTATGAAAAGAGACCCAACATGTTAAGACAATAAGACCATAGTAGTTTGAAGTTGGTTTCACATACCATGATACATCGATAGCAATGTACAACTTTATGAATAGCTTGTTGGTTGAAGACAAACTCACCAATACTATAAGATCAAGCCATGATAAACTAAATTTGTAATTCCATACACAGAGATGTCCTCATTATTGTTGCGATGTCATGGTAATATTCATATACCAAGAAAGAAGCAAAATTAGATCAACCAAGGTCTAGAAAGGAGCATAGCGCATAGACAAACCATCCATAATCCCTTATGTGCAGGATGGGCACTATCTATTCTTATAGTAACACTTAACAAGTGTATTCTATACCTCAATCAACATAACAAATAACTGGTAATATACTGTGTTTCAATACTCATTGCTGATCAACATATTGTTTACAGAAACGAAATTAAGAATTAAGAAATAGCAGCCTCAGAAATCAAGCATACCATGACTTATTTCAAGTCAGACTCAGATGTTCTACATGATTGGAAAGAATACACAACCAGCATCAACACAGGCTGGGGAAGACCCAGACCGGAGGTCTGATAGGTGAATTGTTGTTCAGGGGCGGTGCACCTGGATAATCAGCATAGCGAACATCGCAAGTTCCATCAGCCAAGGAGTACTCATGCCATTCACCCAAGCGCGGCCCAGCTGCATATAAGCAATCCCCTCGGATTCCTGGGTAATCTGGACCAATACAGGCTGCAAATCCGAAGAAACCAAGAAACAGTGTCCGCCCGCCTAAGCTCGTGACTGAAACCCACTTCCCCACCTCAAACACCCACCGATAAACATGGTACAGCATCATCTCCGTGTGATCCTGACTGATGAGCAACACATCACCCCCGCACTCTCCGAGCATGAACTGTCCTCCCGCAGGCTTGCTGTCGTCATCCACCTCCTCTCCTAGAAACGACAGTTCCAGCAAACTATCAGACAGTTCGACTGTGGCAATACGGAGGCCATTTACCAGGGCGTAGAGGGTGCCATCGACGAAGAGCATATCGTCAACAACGTGGGGCGCGTCCGCGGTGGCCACACGCCAGAGCGCGTCCCCAGGGTGGCAGTGCTGGACGTTGGGCCTGCCGGGCAGGAAGAGGACGGCGGCCAGGTCGTCGGAGATGATGACGCGGGTGAACGGCGCGGGGACCTTGGGGAGGCGGAGCTGCTCGCCGGAGAAGAGGTGGAGGAGCAGGAGCCTCGGGGGGTAGTGGGAGGACGCGGTGGTGGCGGTGACGAGGTAGCCGTGCGCGTAGTGGAGGGTGCGGCGGGAGGGGGGCAGGTGATGGCCCCAGGGGAGGCGGAAGCGGTGGAGGCGGCGGAGCGAGAGGTGGAATAACGCCTCGGAGAAGGAGGGGAAAAGGGCGACAAGGAGGAGCGGGGACTGGCAGGCGAGGACCCCGCGGGACGGCGGGAGGACGGCGCGGTAGGCGCCGCAGGAGGCGCGCAGGGCGAAGAAGTCCTCGAGAGAGGTCAGGCGGGAGGTGATGTCGGGGATGAGGTCCAGCGGAGGGGAAGGAGAGTGCAATATAGCGGCTTCTGGATTTGAGGAGGACGTCGGCGAGGCGCTGGGCGTGGCGGCCGACGGTGAGTGCCGCCGCCGGCGCTTCTCCGTCGCCATTTCTGTCGCCTGTTTCGGTCTTTCCCACTTTTTTTTTCCCCTTTCCTTTTTCCCCTTTCCACAGTTCGTTTGAGAAAAAAAAAACAATGGTGGTCTTTTTCCCTTGAGCCTTTTACTTATAGGTCATTATAAAAGATTACAATTCCTAGCGTGCTATTAAAAAAGTTCCGTAGACTTCTCAGACACAGCTCTAAACTTTTGTTCCTTCAGTGCCACTGCCGTTGCTTTTGCCTCTAACGTCGTTAAACAGGAGGAGGGGATGACCCAAATGCCCTCATCCAATGTGGACTACAAAATTTTCGATTTCCTTCTACGCCACTGCTTGCTTTGGCTTTTCTGGTGGGAGATTTTGACGCCAAAACACCCTACAGTTAGCGCAAGTGAATGAATGAATGACGCAGTGAAATTCATGGAGTCATGACAGAGGTAGAAAATAAGGTGGTCTCAAACACCTGACTATCCAGGTTCATCCATGACAGGTTCAGGTCACCTAGACCACAATTCAGTTTGACAACAAAAGCAAACTTTTTAGCCACCCAGACCACATTACAGGTTCTGGTCATCCAGACCGCATTACAAGTTTGCAGACCACAAAATAAAGTATCTAGTTTCCAGACCACATTACAGGTTCTGACATCATCAAACCACATTAAATCCTGGAACAACAAAATAACACAAAACAGAGCTCAAGCAAGATTAAGTCTCTTCTTGCTTCTAGTTCCCATCGCTGGACTACATGGTGAAGTTTGCATCTTGCTCCTAGTTCCCATTGCTGGGCTGGATGGTGAAATGTGGACCTGTGCACCTCTTTTCTTCATCCCATCTTTTGCATCAGTTTTCTTCACCACAGCTGTCTGTGCATCTTGTTCAAATGTCGGTGGGAGCAAAATAGACAGTGGCATAGGTTCATCTCCAGGTTCATGCCCAGGTTGATTAGACCTAGTTCCAGATCTAGTGGCATATAATCACACACATTTAGTGCACAGAACACAGTGACACAAAATGAGGATATGTTGTGTGAGTTAAGTTACCTTCCAGACTGATGATCTGTTGTGTGAGTTGAAGTGTTTGATGACCCCTTAGTTTTCTTGCTTCCTCCTGAAGATGATGTTTGCTTATTTCTTTTCTTGGAAATGGGAGCAATGTTAGGCAGATCAGGAAAGGTCATCCTGGGTGCAGGTGCAAGCACAATACTTGTCACAATATTTGCTGGTGTTGCCTTCTTCCTCTTTTTCGTGGACCCCTACACAAATTGGTTAGTGAACTGCACAACAAATTAATAGAGTACTATTTTGGATAGTCAAGTCACCTGTCTGCCTCCATTGTAGCAATATCTGTTGGATCACCATTTTTGCAAGTGTACCAGTGATGCCCATACTCATGGCAGATTGGGCACTCATGTCTACCTTTCTTGCCTTTGCTGCCCCCTCCTCCTTCAACTGCTCCTTTGCACCTATTTTTCTTTCTTCTACCAGCAGTAGACTTGAGGAGTGGAGGATGCATGAAGAAACCATGTGTTGCTTTTGGCCACATTGTCTTGTCAGGTATTGATGGGATGACCCATCATATGCAAGCACAAACTTCTTGACAGAATAGTAATCATCAACATGGTCTTCAAGCTTTTCTCTAGGGATAGAAGTGACGAAAGCAATGGCATGTTTGCAATGACACCTGCCAAGCCTTGTAGGAACATGTCCTCTCAGCTAAATTCACTACAGACCTATACCACTCCCTCCCTTGGCACAAACTTCTGCAATACCATCTGAGTATGTGATCACATCAATAACAAGGTTGAAGCTTTGCTCCCTCAGTTTTGCCACAATGTGTGGGAGAATCTTTCCTGCCATCTTCCTTGCTATTTTCTTCTATGGTTCCACTTGATCAGGATCTTATGTCTTATTATATCCATCAAGTCATCTAGGTGTTTCACCTTGTCACCCTTGATCTAGTTGTTGAAGCTTTCAACCAAATTATTTGTGACATAGTCCACTTTGGAGTTCGTGGAAAACTAACTCCTAGTCCATAGCTTCTTATGGTTTTGTTGCAAGTATTGCATTGCTTCTAGTTTGGCTGCAGCCATGGCTCCATAATGCTTTTCAAACATGTATTGGTTCCAAGAATAAGCAGAAGCCCATAAATGATCATAAAAAACCTTACCACTAAACTTTTTCTTAAAATTCTGAACTAGATGCCACATACATTCCCTATGTTTTACAAATGGAAAGACCTCACTAACACCTGACATTATTGCCTGTCCACAATCAGTGCAAAATGTGAGACCAGGGGGGCTTCCTATAGCTTCTTTTAGTCTTTCCATAAACCATTCCTATAACACAAGTCAAACCAGAGAGCACCTGCCAATCAACCATAGCGTAGAGAGCGGATCCCATGCACACGTTGGGAGGAACCAGAGACAGGGCCTGCTCTGAAAACCCGAGAAGGAATGGTGGTCGGTTTTTAACTGGTAGAGTTAGAATAACAATAGACTTCGAAATGACATATTAGAGTGGTCGGAGAAATCATAATAGCTTTATTGAAATAAATCAATAGTACAATACATATCTTAGTAGCTAAGCATAGAAACGCCTAAGCTTGTCGATGTGCCAGGAATTGGGTACGTCTGTGCCATCTAGGCGAGCTAACCCGTAAGATGTAGGGCGTGTAACCTCCTTGATCATGAAGGGTCCTTCCCATGGGGTTGCGAGTTTGTGGACACCTGCCTGATTCGTCTTCCACTTCAGGACCAGGTCCCCCACCATGAAGAACCGCTCCTTGATGTTCTTGTTGTAGTACCTGCGCAAAACAACAAGGTATTTGGCTGTACGCACGCAAGAGTCGAGCCGCTTCTCTTCTGCACTATTCACTTCTAGCTCCCACACTTCATTGGCCTTGTCTTCGTCGAAGTTCTCTACCCATGATGATCTGAAGGCTATATCTGCTGGAAGTACTGCCTCAGCGCCATAAACCATAAAGTATGGTGATACGCCGGTATTGCGACTGGGCTAGGTTCTGAGACCCTAGATCACGGCTGGTAACTCTTTGAGCCATCTTCTAGGAGCTTTGTCATTCTCTCTGTACATCCTCTTCTTAAGTGCGTCCAGGATCATACCGTTTGCCCGCTCGACCTGTCCATTAGCTCTAGGGTGTGCCACCGAGACGTATTTTACTACTATGCTCCTTTCATCGTAGAAGTCCCAAAAAGCATTCCCGGTGAACTGAGTACCCAGATCGGTGATGATGCTGTTGGGTATGCCAAAGCGGTGGATGACCTGGTCGAGGAACGTGACAGCCTTTTCTGAAGATGCCGTGACTAGGGGCATGTACTTTATCCACTTGGAGAATTTGTCGATCAGCACAAAGACGCATGTAAATTTCCTAGGGGCCAGTTTGAAAGGGCCGATCATATCCAGTCTCCAGCATGTGAAGGGCCAAGAGGCTGGTATAGTCTGAATCTCATGTGCTGGTACGTGGATTCTCTTGGCGAAGAACTGACAACCTTCACAATAGCGGACTAGCTTCTCTGCATCGGCTATGGCTGACGGCCAATAAAACCCTGCTCAAAAAGCCTTGCCAACCAGCGTTCTCAAGGCCGCGTGGTTGCCACAGGAGCCAGAGTGGATTTTGTCTAGGAGACGTTTACCATCCTCCTGGGTTATACACTTCATCAAGATTTCCTCCTTCGCGTTCTTGCACCACAATTTGCCATCGACGAGCAGATACTGCTTACTGCGACGCATCAGGCGTTCGTTTTCTGTCCGATCGGTGTAACCGCTACCATCTGTCAGGTACTTGATGAAAGGTACTCTCTAGTCAGGCTCCTTAGTGGTCGGAGGTGGTTTGGTGGTGTTTGACGCTGGAACCGTAGCCACCAATAGCTGGTCTAGAAGCTTGTCGACCGCGGGATCTTCTTCTTTGATGGAGGGCGTGAGCAGATCTTGAACAAATACGCCATGTGGGACTTTGGCTCGGGACGATCCTAACTTTGACAGCGCATCTGCTGCTTGATTTTTGTCCCGGACCACATGTGTGTACTCGATGCCATAGAACTTACCTTCCAGCTTTCTGATCGCTTTGCAGTATGCGTCCATCTTTTCGCTGGTCGTATCCCAGTCCTTGTTGAGTTGGTTGATGACCAGAGCCGAGTCTCCGTAGACATAGAGACGTTTGACACCGAGCTCGGTTGCGATGCGCAGACCGTGTAGGCATGCTTCGTACTCAGCGGCGTTATTAGACGCCGGGAAGTAAATCCTGAGGACATATAGGAGCTGCTCCTTGGATGGTGATACGAAAAGGACTCCTGCTCCTGCGCCGTTGATGTTGAGAGAGCCGTCGAAGTACATATTCCAATACTCCGTGGGCCCCTAAGAGGCAGGTGTGCTTAAGTCTGTCCACTCGATGATAAAACGACAAGTGCCTGAGACTTGATTGTAGTACGGCTTGCAAATTCCAAGGAGAAAGAGCATAACTCCATTGCCCATTTGACGATGCGCCCGTTCGCATCCTTGTTGCGAATGATGTCTCCCAGAGGGTACTCGGTCATGACCACCACACGATATCCGTCGAAGTAGTGTTTCAACTTTTGGGATGTAATCAGTATGGCGTAGATCAGCTTCTGAATCTGTGGGTATCTGGTCTTGGATTCATTGAGTACCTCACTGATGAAATAGATTGGTTGCTGTACCTTGTATACGTGGCCGGGCTCATCGCGCTTTACCACCATGGCAGTGGAGACCACTCGATTAGTTGCCGCAATGTAAAGCAGGAGGGTTTCGTCTTCTCTGGGAGCAGTGAGGACCGGAGGTGATGTAAGGAATTGTTTCAGCTGTGTAAAGGCAGCGTCCGCTTCCTCCGACCACTCATACTTCTCGGATGCTTTGAGTAGCTTGAAAAACGGTAGTCCTTTTTTGCCTAACCTTGATATAAAACGACTGAGGGCAGCCATGCATCCGGTAAGCTTCTGAACATCCTTCACCTTTTTGGGCGGCTTCATGTCCAAGACA